GGAAAGAGGCATTGACATTTGGGTTATTATCGTACTACTACTACTACTTACTATATTTTAGTATGAAACAGTATATTGATGTCTGTAAACAAGAAATACAATCTAGCAACTAACAAATGATTCTTTTTCCCAATCCTATATAATAAAAGGCTAATATGAAAATAGACTGAACAGCAGAACAACTAAACAACTGAACAACTGGTCACTATGATGTGCGCTGACCATCAGAGGGTGAGAGGGGAACAGTGGGCGTCGGCCACGGAGGGATGGTGGAAGAGAGCAGGGGCACCGGACCAAGGTGGGGCACTGGTTAATGTCATCGGTTTGAGCCTCTGCTGATTACTGAAAATTCTTTGCTCCCGTGTGCCATGGTCCCACCCAGCGCTCACACCCGCTGCCGGCACTCGGCGCTGGCCCTGAGTGTCGAGCAATCAGGCCCCTATCGCCACTCCCCCTGCTCCTGAGGGGGCAATTGGGGCAGCAGCGGGAGTGGGGCTGCCAGGAGACAGGAGACCAGGGGCCACAGGAGGAGGGGCGGGGGGGCGGTGTAGAGGATGGGCCGAGACCTGCCCCTGTGCCCACCGCAGCCTCGCGGCCCACAATTCCTTTCAAGGTTCATGAATTTGTGCACTGGGCCCCTAGTAGAAGTATAATTGACACTATAATTCATAGACCTAATAATCCTTTTCTGCCTTAGTCACTGGCAAGTTTACTTCTTCTGGTGTTTCTGTGAATGCTATTCTTACCAATAAGCAGTGCCTGCCTGCCCCCCTCCCTCCCCTGACACAAACACACACACACACACACACTCTCACAGAGAAACAACTGGCACAAGTGATAGTTGGGGGAGGGGTGGAGAGGGTCAGGCTTGAAAGAGGGGCTGGCCATCTAAGGATTAGTTGAGATGATACAGATAAGGCCCTTCCATTGCATCCCAACATACAGTAAACACTTAACAAATGTGACCGATATTATTAATAGTAATAGGAACACATTAGTCCTTCTGCCTGCTTCTGTCTCTAGGGAAGGCGTTGCCATGGCACAAGGACAATTACCTCAAAGACCCAAGAGAGACAGGAATAGGGTAGAGATTACTCCTCTGCGTCTGAAGAGTCAACAGAAAAGTTAAGGTGAGGTCCACCTCTCTCACTACTAACTCTTTTTTCCCCTCCCTTTAAGTCTGACTAAAGAAAGCCTGCAGCATTCCTGGCAATTAGATTGAGGGCTCTCAGTTCCAAATGCATTTTTGATAGATGCCTCTAACTGCATCTAAGTGGTAGGAGCATTTCTCTCAGCATTTAATGCTAATCGTCTCTGTCATCTAGGCATAAATAACTACACAATCATGTCAGGGGGCCCAACATAAATCCACCAGGGGTTTTAATCACTCTCCAGTGAGTGTGTCTCATACAAAATCAGAGACATGAAAACCTAACCAGTGAGGTGTGTGTGTGTGTGTGTGTGTGTGTGTGTGTGTGTGTGTGTGATAGCCCCAGCCCAGCCAGGGCATCCTTTCTGTACTATGGAGGAATAAGATCAGAATCCACACCCAGTTCAGGGTGTGACAGCACTGCACCATGTAGGCATGGTCAGGAGAGGGATGATCTTATGTTGGCATTGCTTGCATCACTGTTTCTTCCTCGGAGGGCACATAAATGATGGTTACAAGCATAAGCTGCAGAGTCCAACAAAGCGGGGTTCAAATCACAGCCTGCTGCATCCTCACTGATGCCAGGCAATCTCCCTGATCCTCAAGCTCCTAATCTGTAGGGGATCATAAGCGTACATATGGCATAGGTTGTTGTAAGAATTAAGCAAGATCATATATGCAAAGCACATTATGTAGTATACAGTAGGTGCTCAATAAATATTAGCAACACCAAGAGAAATGCAGAGGGCGTCCCCATCTCTGCTGCAAGGCACAGACGGTTCGGAGGGTCCAAGTGTCCTTTCCCCACCCAGGACTTTTATCTCCCATCTGTGCCAAAGAGTGAGCGTAATGGACAAACTGCTATAGATCTCACAAATTCAAAACCAAACCCTACAAGTTCACTTTATGTATAACTTTTATAAATTGAGGCTCAGATAATTCAGTCTCAGAGGGCTATCCATTTCAAAGAAACAGCCCAGCAACCAAAGTGAATCAAATCCCTTATTTAGGTTCCTCAGATTCTATCAAAGGCTGACTCAAATGAAACACTGACGTACTTCTTAATGCGGCATTGCTTTCCTCTTAAACTCTATTACACTATTTAGCAGCACTGGAACTTCTCTCGTCAATGCCCCAGAACTCTGCAAACACACAGCCTAGTGGCTTCACTGTTTCTCAATCCACTCGCTCGCTCCTCTTCCCCAACTAACTTTTCATTGTACAGATCAGCTGTGCCTCTCTCCTGGCCAGCAGGACAGTCTCCTACTTAGAAAGGGCAGCAGAGGTAAAATGAGTGAGCTGATCTTTAGCGATCATGGGGAAGGGACAGCACTACAGACTCATATAAATAAATGGTTTTTGCCTCTGAACCTGCAAAATGCAAGAACACTTCACTGAACCTTTCTCCTTCGTCATTCTTAATTCATTACTTTACTTGCAAATACAAAAATGCAAAGATAAAAAGCCTTACCAAATTAGAAATGTATGCCTCCTATCTCTCCTTTGCCTTGTCTTAAAAAAAAGAAAAGGTCATTAAGTTGTTAATAGTAGCGAACTCTCTACTCTTAAAGCTGCGCTGAGGCAAGTCATTGGAAGGATGGAAAAGAAACGACAAGGAACGATTAGGTGCTGCCAAGTAGCTGATCTGTTTTCATAAAATACTTCAGACATAAATACCCCCCCCCCCCCCCCCCACACACACACAGAGGGCAGAGACAGGCAAAGTAGTAACAGGCAGGTACCTAGATATGGGGCCACTGCCCTCTAGTGTGTACTCTAA